TCAACTCACAAGAGAAAAATTAACAGGGAGTTGATTGAAGCATTCCATATTAGAAATATGGGAGAAAATTGTGTTAGCCAAGCTTCCGTCACCTTGTCCGATAAAGAATTTGATTTTTTGAAAGGCACGTGCAACAATCCGTCTGCAGATCCGTGAACTCTCCAAATTTTGTCGTTTTGTGGTTCTTATCATGACGTAACGCAGAATAAGCTTTCTTTAGGTTATCTCGTGTGTTCCTGGATCCACCGATGGGGGGGGGGGGCGTGTGGGCTACGTGAAGATATAAGTACAGTTCGTTGTTCAAAATAAACCGGTTGTGAGTTTGCGCCCGTGTTGTTTGCCTCTTTTCCTTGTGTCCGTGTACGTGTTTGCCCAAAGAAGTCATGAACGAGTACCAACTCGCCCAGCTTTTAGTACTGTTATTTAATTACTACTTCTGCAACGCAGAAATGTGTGTGTGTGTGTTTGTGTGTTTGTGTATGTATGTATGTATGTATGTATGTATGTATGTATGTATGTATGTATGTATGTATGTATGTATGTATGTATGTATGTATGTATGTATGTATGTATGTATGTATGTATGTATGTATGTATGTATGTATGTATGTATGTAGTAGTAATAGACTTTTATTCAGCCAAATTTACAGGCCGAGCATTTCGACCGCCTGTGCGATCAGTCGACGCTGTTCTTCTTCCCCTTCAGCGCCGATCCAGTCGAGCCAGGAGGTGATGGAAAGAGATGGGGTAGGGTAATAGCTGGATTGCTGAGCAGTTGGGCTGTAAAACAGGCAGTGTGACAGGTCAGCGCATGGGGAGGGACAATTTGGACAGCAGGGGTTAGACATATATTTATAAAGAAGAAGGTGAGAGGGGCTTATCAGACAGTTCATTGGGATGTGCCGTAAAGTTCGAGCCTCGAGCGCAGTGAGTGATGGATGAGGGGGAGGGTAAAGACGCTTGTCGAGCCGGAGCTGGAGATATACCTCCTTGATAGTGTGACGCAAGGAGATCTGCCCATCGTTATTCGCGGAGCTCTCACTGTCTTCCGAAGGTGTGGGCCAGGGAATGAACGATGCCCGGTGCAATATATCGCGGGCAAGCTGATGAGCTAGCTCATTGCCGTTAATACCCGAATGCCCAGGAACCCAGCGGAAGAAGACAGTGGAGGGTTGAAGAGCCGAGGCCGCTCGCTCGACCTCCTGTTGAAGAGCAGGGGGCAACGTGTTGTTCTGTATGTGACGGATGGCGGAGTGAGAGTCGGAGTAAATCGTGTACTCGGGGAGAGAAGGGAGGGAGGAAAATGACTGCATGGCGTTGACCATGGAAAGGACCACGAGCGAAAGTACATTTGGCGGGTGTAAGTATGGCCCGCTGGTGTGCGGGTCAGGTGCCGAAATGTGTGGATGGTAGATAACGTAGCCACACGAGCCCCGAGGAGCCATGTATGAGGCATCCGTGTAGGCAACTCCCTGTGTAGAAAGAGGAGGCGAATGATGCTGTGCGGCCGCATGACGCCGGCCGGCGTGAAGAACGGGAGACATGTTGGATGGGAGGGGAAGGATGCGAAGGTTAGAAGCAGCGGTGCTAGCGGCAGAAGGCAAGGTGGGAACGGAAACGGGAATGTGAGGGATACCGGCTTGGGCTAATAGCCATTGGCCTTGACGAGTGAGAGAAAGAGGGGCAGTCTGAGAGTCGTGGTGCAGAGAAATAAGAGAACGTAATGGATGGAAGAGGCCTGTGGCAAAGAGCTTAGTGGTAGAGGTAGTGAGAGGGAGGTTTAGAGCTGCCTTGTAGAGGCCTAATAGAACTCTTTCGAGTGTGTTAAGTTGCGTTTAGATGAAATAAACGTATGACACAAAGTACAAGAACTTGTTAAGGGCAAGCGCATGTGCAACCCGGCACGCATGAGCCTCGTGGAGCCCCGACTGCCGAGTTACAACGCGTCGCAGGAGGTGGGTCACCGAGGGGCAACTCCTCACGGCGTGATGTAGGGCCTGTGCGTTCTTTGTTGCGTGCAAAGGGAAGCCAAGAACTTTGCATTGCTGAACAGTGGGGATGACAGAGCTAGAAAGATGTAGGGAGATGAGGGTATTGTGTGAGCGCTGGTACGCAGAGCGGTTTAGCAAAAGTCATTCACATTTCTCCGGTGCATGGGACAGGCCAGCAGTAGCGAGAAAAGAAGCGATAAGGTCCAGACTACGTTGCAAAGTATCCTGCACGTGACCGGGACATCCAGACGTACACCAGAGAGTGATGTCGTCTGCATGAAAAATATGGTGGAGGTCAGGTATTCGGGACAGTTGGGAGGCAAGGGGGGCCATAGCCATAATAAATAGAGTAGGAGATAGTACGGCCCTTGAGGAGTGCCGCGGGTGAGAGAGTGTGGGTTAGACAAATGAGTATCGACTCTAAAGCGAGTAACTCGATTGGAAAGAAATGATCGGATGTAAGAATACATGCGGGAGCCACATGACAGGGAGGAGAGCTTAGTGAGTATGTGGTCATGACTCACGCCATCGAATGCCTTCCGTACATCGACGGTTACAAGCGCATGAATCTCACTACGAGATGGTGAAAGAAAAGTATGCTGAAGAACAAGGAACATGTCCTGCGCACAAACGTGGCGTCGGTAGCCAATAAAGAAGGAAGGGAATACTCTTTCGCCTCAATAAAATCAGAGAGTCGAGTCAAGGCCATTCGCTCAAGAGTCTTGCCAACGCATGACGTCAAAGAGATAGGGCGAAGCTTAGAGAGAGATGGAGGTTTGCCCGGCTTCGGAATCATGCAAATTAGAGATGATGTCCAAGAGCTTGGAAGACAGCCGCTGTTTCATGCTTCGTTGAATGTGTTTAATAAAAATTCCTTCGCGTTGTCGGGGAGTATACGTAATGTAGTATATGTTATCTCATCCTCACCGGGTGCCGAGCGGTTAGATAGAGTGGCTAAAGCAGCTTCCAGCTCCCTGAGCGTGAATGGGTGGTCCAGGTCTGGGTTAGCTTTGCCACAGTAATCTGGGTAGGAAGGTGTGAGGGGGGTGGAAGATACAGAGATTTTAAATTTTCAAACACATCTATGGGGTCCCTTGAGTGAGAGCTTTAGCTAGGGTGGGAGCAACGGCAGGCTTGGTACCTAAGAGAATGTATGTATGTATGTATGTATGTATGTATGTATGTATGTATGTATGTATGTATGTATGTATGTGTATGTATGTATGTATGTATGTATGTATGTATGTATGTATGTATGTATGTATGTATGTATGTATGTATGTATGTATGTATGTATGTATGTATGTTTTGAAATGCGTCTCACCTTCTCTCTCTCTCTCTCTCTTTCACTTTATTCTTCTCCCCACTAGCTCATGCTGCAGGGTGGCAGACTGGATGCATCCTAGTCAGCCTTCATACGTCTCGTATATTTGTTCCTGTGTCGGTGCCGTTGTCAGTCGCAATGGGTGGCACATAGTAAAACTCCTCCCGGAACTGGCCGTAGAAACGAGGTGTGGACTGAAGAGAGCGTGAGTAACTGAAAAATATAAAACGAAAAATTCAGCGACACTCGCGATACTGCCCTAATGGGATGTGTGAGCGCAGCTGTTAGGGTATTTTCATATTAGAATGAGTTGAGCAAATGCGCATGCATCAGTGCGACGTCGCGTGGGATGAGCGAGAAAAAGGAATGCTCGGTTTTCGTGTCAACGTAACGTGGTGAACCGGAGGAGACTCAGAGTGTGCGTGCCTCCGTCTTTCGAGCTTATGAAGGTCACCTACGTCAACCTGGTGTCGCGAACTTCAGGCACTGTTGGCTGACGTGATGATCTGTCCCATTATGAAAGTCTTTTAGGATTCTGGTAGAGATTTACACCACACACACAGTATCCCTTCGACCAATGGACGTCTTGTTCTTGCAAGCCTCACAGGTCAACCCACTTTTTCTCTTGCCTCTGCACGAGAAACACGCGTTGCACTGTCATGAAAGGCTCGGGCAGCCACAAGCCATTGTAGAAGCAAATATAGCTGCTCGCTGGCTCTCACAGAAGAAGACTCCTTGGCGCAGTTTCTCGCTTTCTTTTGTCGTGGTTCACTCTCTCAGTTACATCGACAACGGGAACGTCGCCAAACGCCTGATGGCTGCCAAACAGATGCGCAATAAAAGTTGCCTCGGTGAGGCACGCTTGCAACCCAAGCCCTCACTAACCGAAGTCAGGTGTGTCCTGAGACAAGGTGAGATTATTGGAAGCATAAAGGTATAAATGTTATAGCACCTAGCGATGCTAGGTTTGCTGACGGTCCCGTTAGCGAGAGAAAAGAAAGGAGGTCACGTGATCGACCACCGAGAGAATGTGGGGCTGCAAGAGTAACGGAATAACCATAAAAAAGACGCTTCCGGAAAGAAGAGATCGATCCAGGATTCAGCTAGACCACGCGTCTGCGTTGTACACTCCGTACCAAGGAATTTCTTGCGAAGTGGCTGCCTAGGCACTCGTTTTGTATAATTCTCTGTGGGTGTGACCTACGCCGTGCTGCAGTTGTCTACTTCTCGCCACAGCATTACGCAGGTTGTGGCTGCACTGGAACGCTACTCAGCGTGGCAATGGATTTCACTGCAGAGAAGAAGCTTTCGCAAGCCTTATTGTTCTCCAACTGAGACAAGGTGTAGAGTCCGTACTGGACGAGTGGGTGGGATGGAATCGGCCATGGCCACATTGGAAATCCAAGATAGTGTTGCAACGTGTCTGCACTTGAGCATATCATCGCGCTGTGCCTCCATGACATAACCATAAGAATAAAAAAATGGCAAATCAATCCTTAATAAAAGCTTCAAAGGGCCTCAGTAGGGATATGTAATGTTTGACGAAAGTAGATAGAGCTTCATGGTCCTGACTGGTTTTCATGGCACGAAATAAAATGCCGTTTCTAATCGTCACCGTGGAGTTGTGTTGTGATCCTCACTGTGACTGCGACCAGCGTAAGTACGTATCGATAGAAAAACCATCATTCAAATAATCCGTACCGAGTAATTTTATTGCAGTCAATGTGGCAGTCATTTGTTTCCCCAGAAGCAAACGAGGACAATCGTATTCCTTACGTGTGGCATGCTTGAGGGAAACCTCTTGTACCCGATGAAGAGTTTCTGTAAAACGATAAACGGAAAGTATATCTGTGAGCTATGAACAGCTTTAATCACTGTCGTCTGAAAGAAATGCTTCCGTAAAACAAAGTGTGAGCAAACGCCAAAGAAAGCTTTCCCTTACACTTCTTGTGAAGAAGAGCACCATACGTGAACGGAGTGCCAAGGCCATAGCCATAGTTTAGGCCATAGCCGAGAAGACCATGACCGAAGCCGTAGTGGCCAACCCCGTAGCCTAACGTGCCGACACCGTATCCGTATACTGGGGCAGCGTGGTATGCGGCGTGGGCAACCGTGGCAACTGGAGCGTGATGGACGGTGGTGGTGGCCACAGCTGGTGCGGCGTGGACGGCAGCTACAGCAGGGGCAGCTGCGTAGGTGGTGACTGGGACATGAGCAACGGCAGAAATAGCTGGGGCGTGGTAGGTTGTCGCAACCTTCGACACAGCGGGAGCAGTGGCAACCACTGGAGCAGCTGCGTAGCTCGCGATGGCAGGACTGGCAAGCGCGGTGGCAACTGGAGCACGAGCAACGGTTGTGACAGCTGGAGCGGCGTGGTAAGTAGTTATAGCTGGGGCAGCAGCTACGCCAAGGCCGTACGTGTAGCCAGCAGTGCCGACAAAGCCAGCAAAAACGCTAGTGGCCAGAGCCAGCATGATTAAAACACGGATCTGAAATTAAAGTGGATGACGGAAAATCAGGCACTGGAAGGTTCAGTGAAAAATCACTAAGGTTTTCCCTTTAACGGTGGGTAGCTTTACAACAAACACAATTCTGGCATACTGATATGTATAGCTTTTAGCGGTGGCTTAGTTCTTGTTGCTACAAAACAAGGCTGCAGAACGCTATGCTACTCTAATTGTTTCTTGGCCTGATTGGTCTCCTTTTTTCCTAGTTCTATATGAACAAACAAAGCTTTGTAAATTACCCTTTTGGCTGAAAGAAGTGCCTAATTATAGTCAGAAAATGAATTGCTGACCTTGCGTAGGTACAGAGATGCATACAGAGTAGCATATTTAGTGATGACACAATATTATTTTTATTTCGGCGAGTTCGTATAGTTTAATAGCGTGAGGTAGAAAGACCTCTTGTCCTGATTTGAGCATCCGGCACATGTTTTAAATATTGGCTCCTAAAAATATGGTGCTTCTAGGCAGGCTGTAATATACAGTACCAATACTACGTTTGTGTGCGAACGGCATGGTTTCGAATTGCGGGGTCATTTCGGCCCTCAGTAGCAGTGGGCTTTGTCTATATGGCACAGAGAGTAACGAATTGTAAGGCAGAAAGACTAAGCATTTTGACAAAGTCACTCGTAGTGAGGTTCTTGATAAAGGACTAAAAATGCATCCTGTTGGTTAAATGAGCTGCACTTACTCACCATTGTGATTTTGAGGCTGCTTCTGCACGAACTGCTGGCCTACTTGAGGCTTTTGGCTCCTTATATATGGACTTACACGCTCATAAATTGTTGTACAGCCATGTGCTGTAGAGGCGAGGGAGAGGCTTTCCAACAACTGACGTCGTAACGAGCATTATTCGTTATTTCGAGCGTAGCCATCCACCACAAGGTTTGTACGATTAAAGAATAGTAATGAGTGGTAACAGAAGGGTGCCCGGTAGTGCTGATGTTTTGCCCCACGTCGTACAGCCCACGAGTGACGATATAATGCGATGAGAAGGTTATAGCGTTGTACTGAACGCATTTGCATTCAATGGTTATCAGTATTAAAGAGCAGATTTGATTTATATGAGGTTCAAGTGCTGAAGTCCACTAAACCAAATGACCATACTTCACACAGAAACGATACGAGCTTAAGGACACCGGTTATCATTAGAATCAGTAAATATTTGACGTAAATGAGCAGGAGATCTCTATAACTTTTCTCCGCTTACTGAACAAAATTGTTACAAAATAAGTGCCTAGTTAAACGTTCGTTACCGTTTAATTAGAACTTACGGCCACCAAATTATTTAAACCATTACCTCTTTGTAGGAACCGAGTGTCTTACGTGTATTCCAAGTACTGGAAGTAAGCCTTGTTAACCAATATAACCTAAAGATTATAAGTCAGAGGAAAAATTTTCAGGCTTACCAGCACCAGAAATGTTGATATCGCGCCCCCACACGAGCGATTCCTCTCGTGTCAAAAAATCTCGAATAGTCGCTTTTCATTGAAAATCATGTGTACTTAATCTTTCTCTTTGTACTGGATTTTGCAGTTGCTTTGCTACTTTGGGGAGGTATAATTCATGCCATTAAATTGGTGACGCAGCGCACTGAATAAATTATCCCTATAAAATTGTCAACGGCTATTTCACGGCCAATTGAAGATAGCCTGTGCCACACATACCATGTGATGTGCAAACCAGCGTGTGAAGTCAAAATATATTCTAGGCATTGCTGTCATAGAGCCTCGGTGTATAGCGACTAGAATATTCTACGCATTGTACTAGGTGTAAACGGAAAGACATGAACGGGCACTGCTGAAGAACGCTCCGCTATTGTATTAAATGTCACCCAGCCATTCTCTAGAGACGCTTTTTAAGTATTGCAGCTTAATATTTGTCATTTGTCGGGTGGAGAACCGCTTTAGAATTTGTTTTCCTGACGAAAAAGAGAAAGATGTCGAGCGAGTAAAATATACTTTAAAAAATGCCACCCGCATCTTTGCAAGAGTAAATACGTCGCGAGTAGGTGGGTATCGCGTGATAGTTGTGCAATTGGTCATAGTTTGAAAATGCTTAATTGTTCTCTTGTCTTTACTATTTTTATTCACTTAACAAATCAGAAGCATTGCTTCAACGAGTGGTGTGACGCTGATGTGCGATCCAATGCCTACATATATGGGGTGGCCTGTGAATGGTTGTGGAGCTCGAGCCGTTGGTTTTTACTAGAAGACGCTGCCTGCGTCGGCCTTGTGAGACGAGACGGGGGGAGCAAACAGTTGGCACGAGGTGCATGCAGCACGATGCGTGAGGCGCGAGCATGCGCAGTGGGATGTGGACTACGCCGACGCACGATGCGTGGCATCGTGCGACCAAGAATTGCATCCCATATAAAATATCCTTCAAATATTGAGTTCCGTGCTATACGGCAATTGTCAAGCACTACGTTGTGATTTTGTGAGTCTTGTTCATTACGAATGATTTTTTACGATTCCGACCGTTTTCGTGCATTCGCAAGAAACGGTTCAGTCCGTTTCACAAAATGAACAAGTTCTCGTATGATTTGTGAGCAGTGTCGCTAGGAGAATGTCTACCATTGAAGCAATTAAAAGATACATTGAATTTACCACATTTTGTGGTACACTTCTTTACACTAGCACTGTTTTCATCGTTCTTGTTAGAGATATTGTGTGAAACAATGAACTTTAGGACGTTTATATCAATACGCGCTTGCAGCTAAAGTAAGTAGTTCATAAGGCCATGGTAGTATATGGGGTATAATTCTTCTTGTTTACTCTTTAAATATTGTTTATCTTTTCCGACGATCAGCTCACTCAGTACATGCTTGCTATATGCTACAGAAGATGTTAAAAATAAATGTGTTGAATATGAAACGATACGGCTCAGAACTCTGATTCACTAGGATAGAAAAAAAAAAGACGACCTACAACCAACGTTGCCTCTGTAAACTGGTCACTTCATGCGACAAACTCTAATTTAGTATCGCATCAACACGGTCGAAACGCTACGTCACTTTGAAGCCGAAAAAGCGAGCGACCAAGAATAATAGGCTAGGTTTTTCATATGAAAACCGCTATGCGATTATCAAAGACGCCATAGTGGAAAACTTCAGAGGTTCGACAACCAGGGCTACTAAGATGCGTCTATATCTAAGGACATTATACTCCAGCATCCTACCTTTTTCAAAACATGATTGGCTGTATTTGTTTTATTAAACTCAATAGCTCTCAAATTGCACCCGTCAATCATTCGTTTTGTCGTGGGTGATTGTAGGAAGAAAATCTATAAGAAATTGCGGAATTCTGGCACATAGCGTTGAAACAAACAGGTGCCATATTTGCCAATTTTTTAAAACTAAAGAACTCTATTTCCTGAAAAGCAAGCTGTCTTTTCGATCAAGAAGGCCCTTGTATAAAATATATGTCTAGCATTAAAGCTTAACGTTTTGTTCTATTTGCTTTCGATGGTTCAAATGCAGCTTAGGCTCTCATTAACCGACTGCATGGCGTCTTGTAGTAATGGAACGCTTGAACGAGTTTTTGTCTGAGGAAGGCCCTCGTGGAAGCCAACAGGCTAAAAATATGCCAATTTTCTCCTCAACAATGACAACCTCAAGAAGGTGTCCCAGTTTATTCAGAGCCACACAGAGAATAAACAGCACTTCGAAATCTGAAGTATCTGCTTTCGTTCGCAAGGTAGAAACGTATGAATTATCGACCAGTGCCTGTTCGCTTTTGAGTAGTGCAGGATGAAAAGGTTGGCGTTAAACAAATAAATGCTTTTCTTTTTCAGTTCTTAACTGTAGTACACCAGAGATTAAGATGAATCAGTGATAGCTCATCTCTCATCATTACCAGATAGCTCATCTCTCATCAGCTCATCATGATGAAGATGAAGTAATCCTTTATTGTCCCGAAACATAGTTCCCGAACTCGTGAGATTGGGGCCACTCTAGATGGGAGGGTCTCTCATTCCAGGAATTCTCAGGTTGCAATCACCTCCTGGGCCCTTTTAATCGTCTAGGTCCTCCTGCGACGATCTTGGCCTCCCACGTCTTGGCTAGGTGATATAAACGTGTGGCCTTTGCAACCGTAGTGTTGTCATCTTTGTGGTGCCCCGGGCACTCGAGTATTCAGTGCACCAGTGTAGTACCTTAGTAACCAGTGCTTCGCCGATGACATTGAATTGCAGATTAACTCAGGGGACGAATTGCAGCTCATGATTACGGAGTTAGACAAGGAGGGCAGAAAGTTGGGTCTTAAAATTATACTGCAGAAAATGAAAGTAATGTACAACAACCTCGGAAAAGAGCAGCGCTTCGAGATAGGTAATAGTGCACTTCAAATTGTAAAAGACTATGTCTACTTAGGGCAGGTAATAGCCGCGGAGCCGAACCACGAGATGGAAGTAACTAGAAGAATAAGAATGGGGTGGAGCACATTTGGCAAGCACTCTTAAATTATGACAGGTAGATTGCCACTATCCCTCAAGAGGAAAGTATATAACAGCTGCATCTTGCCGGTACTTAGCTACAGAGCAGAAACATGGAGTCTTACAAAGAGGGTTCAGCTTAAATTGAGGACGACGCAGCGAGAAACTGGAAAGAAAAGTGGTAGGTGTAACCTTAAGAGACAAGGAGAGAGCAGAGTGGATTCGGGAACAAACGGATGCTAAGGATATCATAGTTGAAACCAAGAAGAGGAAATGGACATGAGCCGGACATTGTAGCGCGTAGACAGAATAAGCGCTGGTCATTAAGGGTAACTAACTGGATTCCCAGAGAAGACAAGTGGGTTAGGGGGAGACAGGAGGTTAGGTGGGCAAATGAGATTAACAAGTTTACGGGTATAAATTGGCAGCAGCAAGCGCAGGACCGGGTTAACTGGCGGAACATGGGAGAGGCCTTTGTCCTGCAGTGGACGTTGTCAGGCTGATGATTATGATGATGATACCGGGCAGTTGTAGGCATATAGCGTCGGGTAGATTCTGTGCAGTAGGACGCCGTGCGTATACGTGTTAGTTTGCAGTCTTTTAAATGATGTGCCCTATTCTTTAGTCAGCTTCAGGTTAGGTGGCGGGTACCCTTGGCGATCTAAGTGATAGCGTTGTTGTATGGCATTGTAAGTTGTAGGTCGGCGGTACTGTTTCCACTTCCTGCTGCAGCACTGGCTAACCGCAGGTCGAGCGAGGCGCCAAAGGAGGCCTGGTTGGTGTGATCGCAGGGTACGGTGCGAGGCGCTTCATTTCCCTGGGGCCCCTTGCGGCCCGAAACACATCCCACGCAGATTTAGGGAAGCGGATTTTTGGTATTTCTCAGAATTTTGAGGGCTTCGGCGGAGATTCGGCCTCACGTGTGTTTGCGGATCGGGGACTGTGAATATGTGAAGATACGACCACGTCCTCACCACTCGTAGTGACAAGGGTGACTCGTAGTCACTGCTTCCTCCGCATCCTCGGAGCTTCGAATCCTCGGATTTAGCCGCGAGCATGTAGCCCCGTCGAAGTAGCGAGTATCCAGATATGCTGGTGTCTGCGAATGATGTCGACTAGAATTATTCATCTTTGTCGATGTTACTAGGGATGCATAATATGTGGCACTGGGCGGTGCTGAATTATTCTCGGTGGTATGCAGGTATCTCTTTCACTCCTTATCTTGTATACCCCCCCCCCCCCATAGCTGTACGACCGAGTGAAAAAGTTTCGAACAAAGCCATAAATCTTGGAACCACAATAGGTGCTTTAGACATTTTGTAGTAAGGCTTTATCGGCTAACATTACCGAAGGCGCTCTTTACATCGATGGCAAGAATGGGCGACTTTCTGCTCTTGCTCAAGCGATCAGCTAGATATACCTCGACGAGTAAGAAGACGTCTAGCGTAGAAAGCAGTTGGCGGAATCCGAACATGCTGTCTGGGAAGTACCCGTTGTCCTCAAGGTGTGACATGGGCAGGTCATGGCTCATATGCAGAGATAGCTTGACAACGCACGAAGTGAGAGAAATTGGTCTTAGGTTGTTAACAGCTATAGCTTGTTGGGCTTAGGTATGATAACTTATGAATGCTTTTACGTGGGTGGAAGTTCTTTTTGTCACAGAAATCATTGTATATATAGTATCATCGGAGAACAGTTTTAGCCTGAATAGATAACTGTCGGAGGCATTCACAATCTCCAAAACGTTTTTTTCAGCTCAGATACTCTCACACAAAGAGCTTCTGAAGATTTTAGTCCTCTTCGTGCATCCATCAGCGCCAATTTCAACTCCAGAAGAAGCGGCTTGCTCTTCGATGTACATGCATACCACCATGCCAAACGTTTAGTGTCTATATATTTGAAATGAAAGGATATATTCATAACTAAACATGCCCATTGAATTTTGAAAAAGAACATTTCCTATACCTTATAATATATAAGTAATATTTCTGTTTCTTTACAGTGATCGCTAATAAGCCATTGCATTGTGATAGAAAGACAGTCCACATTATGAGTATTTATTTATTGCAATGGCTGAAATTTCTCATGATTATGGACGGTTTCGCTTGCAAAAGTAGAAAATGCTCGCGAAAGCGAAGTTTTAAACTAGGTTCTACTGTATCCTGACAGTTCCTATGAGATATATTTGTACGAGGGCTTATGCCACTCTCTTTTTTTTTTCTTTGGTCGTTTTGAGCAGTAAGCTATCTTGTCCAACTTGACCAACTTTTTTATTTTTATTTGAGATATAAGCACTCTCAAGCCTTAGCCATGTTGAAATCATCTCGCTCGTAAAGAGACCTATCTACCTACTTTATTAGCTTGAATAAAACTTGCTCCTGCAAGTTTGGACGAATACGGAAAGCCTTCAAGCTTACTTACTTCCTGATTTTCAAAATATTCTGAAAAACACGCAAACGAATGAATAACGAGAATCGTTCTCAATGCTCCATGGTAGAGTTTTATTAATTTTCCCCGCTCGTAAAGCGTTAGCGGTCACAGAACACAAGAAAGCCGGATACCTGTTACGATCTCAGCTGTGCGAGAGGGCTGTCCTTCATTCGTTACTACTTACGATTGCTCAATACGTTGTGAATTTCAGAGCTCCTATATAAGGGCCTGGTAACTACAGGGGAGCCAGTAGTTGGCTAAGAAGCTCGCTCTAAAGTCGCCACGGTGAGTAGAAAAGCGTACTGCATGTCGATATGTGACTTTCCGCTGCCTCGTTTTAAGGAGCGAAGTGACTACTCTTGTGTTCCATAATTGAGGTGAATTGAAAGTTCCGACAAAAGCAACTTCATTTCAGTAAGATTAGTTTAGAATTAACTTCGCTGTAGGAAGCTGCAGATGTAACTTTATCTCAAACTAACTAGCATACAAAAAATAGTAACAACCGTTCTTTGAACGGGGCACTCTTTTATATTATCAGCAACTCGTTTTCACGTAATGATCAAAGTGACTCTCTCTAATAGACCGAAACAGACTGTAAGGGGCACTTATATCTAATATTTTTCAAAATCGATGAACATATTAGACAAGGGACTTTGCAATTTAAAATTACTTCATGGCGGAACATTTTATAATAGAATGTGGTGCCTTTTAAATCTGTAAAAAAATAACCCTACTGTGTAGGCTTGCTTCAACTAGTACTTTGCTGCCACATAGTCCCGAAAATTTTCATACATAGAAAAAATACGTAAAACATTCAAATTTGTATATTTAAGTGACTGAGGGGCCACAGAACTATACGAAAGACGTCCGCGTTACCTATTACAGCTTACATCTTCGATCAAAGGCAGCGATATTTAGAAAAATATAAATCTTGTAACGCATCTTTACGGAAACACGTTTTTCTCCTCCAAATATTCAAAGTTTTAATTTCGCCCTGATAACTGATTCATTAGGAGCATCATGGAGTAATTAACAGTTTTACCGCAAGGGCGAACCGATGAAATAACTAGGAACATATTGCAATGTTATGAAATGGGAGTCTTGCAGCTAACTTTTAGCATCTAAACTTAGGTAGGTCTACGAAACACTGGTGTAAAGGAACATGGCTGCTAGACAGCCGTTTTCGTGTGGTCTGTCATTCGAACGGGACAAAAATTTTTAAAGCATATACTACGTACAAAAATATCGTCATCATCATCATCATCATCAGCCTGACTACGTCCTACTGCAGAACAAATGCCTCTCCCATGTCCCGCCAATTAACCCGGTCCTGTGCTTGCTGCTGCCGATTTATACCCGCAAACTTCTTAATCTCATCTGCCCACCTAACCTTCTGTCCCCCCCTACCTCGCTTCCCTTCACTGGGAATCCAGTTAGTTACCCTTAATGACCAGAGGTTATCCTGTCTACGCGCTACATGCCCGGCCCATGTCCATTTCCTCGTCTTTATTTAACTATGATATCCTTAACCCCCGTTTGTCCTCTAATCCACTCTGCTCTCTTCTTGTCTCTTAAGGTTACACCTACCATTTTTCTTTCCATTTCTCGCTACGTCGTCCTCAATTTAAGCTGAACCCTCTTTGTAAGTCTCCAGGTTTCTGCTCCGTAGCTAAATACCGGCAAGATACAGCTGTTATATACCTTCCTCTTGAGAAATAGTAGCAATCTATCTGTCATAATTTGCGAGTGCTTGCCGAATGTGCTCCACCCCATTCTTATTCTTCTAGTTACTTCAATCTCGTGGTTCGGCTCAGCGGTTATTACCTGACCTAAGTAGACATAGTCTTTTACAACTTCAAGTGTACTATTACCTATCTTGAAGCGCTGCTTCCTTTCCGAGGTTGTTGTACATTACTTTTGTTTTCTGCAGAATAATTTTAAGACCCACCTTTCTGCCCTCCTTGTCTTACTCCGTAATCATGAATTACTCAGCAATGCAATGTCTTCGGCGAAGCGCAGGTTTCTAAGGTATTCTTCATTAACTCTTATCCCTAACTGTTCCCATTCTAGGCTTCTGAAAAGCCTCCTGTAAGCATGCGGTAAATAGCATTGGGGAGATTGTGTTCCCCTGCCTTACACCCTTCTTGATTGGTATTCTGTTGCTTTCTTTATGAAGCACTATGGTAGCAGTTGATCCCCTGTAGATTTCTTCCAGAATGTTTATATATACTTCATCTACGCCCTGATTCCGCAGTGTCTGCATGACGGCTGATATTTCGTCATGTCTTCATGACGGCTGATACAAAAATATACGAGCCACCTAATCAAGTCTGGCGTGATAGCACGTGTTCCTAAGGCTCGCGACAGTGACTTTTCAGCCAAAGTTCGTAGTTGCTGCTCGAGTGCGCCCGAAGAAAGGAAAAGAAGCATATCCTTTCTGGCTGAGAGCCATGGACGGCAGGCCTCGCACGCAGCGAGATGGGAAAGCATGCGTAATTTTTGATACGATGATGGCGGGTTTGTTTCAAAACCCTTTAGCGGTGTTTGTCGGCAGCGCTTAGGCGCTATACCTTCATGCGCGTAGAACGTACAATATGTAGGGTGTTGTTATTGATTTGGGCTTGATGCGCAAGACGACCGTGATAAACAACGGGGCGAAAGTCCCTGTCGAGCTGCATGCGCAGTAACATAAAGTCGGTGTTCGCAGAAATCTGAAAGTATTGACAACTCGTTATACAGCCTAAGCAATGTCTCCTGGTGGCACAAAAGTATTTTCACCAAGTAGCTGTGCTTATAAATATTCATTCTATCAACGTGCTTGCAGATCCGTACCTGCATTGTTCTGGCTCTTGCCACCAGCGCTTTTGCTGGCTTCGTCGGCACCGCCGGCTACACCTACGGCCTTGGCGTGGCTGCCCCAGCTGTGGCTGCCTATCACGCTGCTCCCGCTATCGCCACCGTTGCCCACGCTCCAGTTGCCACGGCTGTCGCTGCTCCAGCAATTGCAAGTTACGTGGCTGCTCCAGTTGTGACCACTGCTCCAGCTGTGAGAAAGGTTGCCACGACCTACCACACTCCCGCTGTCGCCACTGTCGCCCATGCTCCAGTTATCGCCGCTGCTCCAGCTGTCACTTACGCTGCAGCCCCTGCTGTCGCTGCTGTTCACGCCGCTCCAGCTGTAGCCACTACCACAGTCCACCACGCTCCAGCGGCCACAGTTGCGCACACAGCGTACCACGCTGCCCCAGTTTATGGCTACGGTATTGGCACCCTCGGCTATGGCGTTGGTCACTATGGTTTCGGCCATGGTCTTCTCGGCTACGGTCTGAACTATGGTTATGGTCTTGGCACTCCGATCCAATATGGTGCTCTCCTCCACAAGAAATGTAAGTAGATATGAAATAATGGCTCTAAACATGCAACATTATCCCAATATTTCTTTGCTATTCATGTAACATATCAGAAAAATTGCTCATGGTATTTTCTTCATTCTTCTCTTTTGCAGAATTGTTTCACTCAACAATATAACGACCCTTCACAGATGTGAATATCAATATCACCATGGTTACCTTGTTTACTGGCAAAGAATTATATGCTCCAGGTTTACGTAAATAAAGTGTTCCGATTTTGTGAAGAGCCATCCGGAGATTCTGTTTTTTGTAATAATAGGATGATTTGTAATCTGAGACCAAACAATCCGAGCCCGAGGGCGCTTTCGGTATTTATTAGAAGGATGATGAATGGGCTGATGTGAGATCCACTATGCCTTTGTGTAATCCCTTGCACAACGTTTTTCTTGTTTAGGGCAGCCAAGAGAGGGGTAGCGGAGCTTAAAATGGGGTGGTTGATTCGACAGCGAGAGTGCTGAGTCGAGCTCTCGGGGTACTGAAGTTAAAAAACCCAAAAGTGTTAGAGGTACAGCGTCTCGCGTCAACATAAATGCATCATCAACAGCTGGCTCAAGTTTTGCGCTGGTGCTCGTGTGACCAAGCTCCTTGATCAATTCCCAAGTTTGAGGTTTCTGTAGTACTTGTAAAAAGCCCCGCCATGGTGGTTTAGTGGCTAAGGTACTCGGCTGCTGACCAGCAGGTCGCGGGTTCAAATGCCGCCTCCGGCAGCTGCATTTTCGAAGGAGGCGGAAATCTTTTAGGCCCGTGTGGTCAGATTTGGGTGCACGTTAAAGAACCCCAGAAGGTCGAAATTTCCGGAGTCCTCCACTACTGTGTCTCTCATAATCATATGGTTGTGTTGGGACGTTAAACCCCCCATATCAATCAATAGTACTTGTAAAAAGGGAAGCCTCATAGATCGGCAATCGCAAACAAGTGGCCCGCGGATTTGTCACCAGTGACCTGGCCCACCAAAGATTGCATTCATTACATTACTCTTTTGTTTTATTTTCTTCGTATGCGCATTGCCTACACAGGCATGAATGACCTCAAGCATTTTTTTTCTCTAAGGCATAACATGCAGCTGCATGAAGTTCAAACATACTTTTATAGAACAAGAACTTTATACTTCCTAATCGGTGAGCAGGTTTCAGGTGTTCATGACATTGATATCGATTTGTTTCAGAACACCTCACGTAAAACCTGCTTCATGAATAACCCCTGTATGAGATACGGGAAAACCCTTTTAAGCATTGAATGGTGACGCGAAGGTGCAGAGTCGAACGCTGACCACGGAAGCCGCTCTTAAATAAAGGTGAAACGCTGGCATTCATTTAATTAATTTCTGAACCGCTGCCTCTATTTCTGGCTGGTGGATTGTCAGCTGGCGGTGCCCTCCGACGAGCATGAGCCGTAACATCACATCTTACGATGTACATGCAGGGTGCACATGTTCGTACTCGCCTCTCTTCTTTTTCTTCCAAATCCCCTCCCATGACGTCGTTGGTGCTTTACTTAAGCAGCGAGCATTTTTTTGCGGCCGGTGCTGTTCGTAGTACGTAGTGGATTCAGAACACGCAGTGGTACAGTGGTGGCGCGTGTCGACGGCGGGCCACTAAACGTGGCTGCTAGTGAAAACGCAGTAAATCCGTTATTTTTGTCTAGTTTGGGCCTTATGTGAGAGTTGTATTTTGATTTTAGCTTCTAATCTTTCAAACGGGCTAAAAGTCCTGGCGTAAATCATTTCCTCACTATCCCTTAATGTCGGAAAAAGGCAACACCAAGTTTATGCGACGAAATAAAGAGAAGATTTCTTGATGTAACCGATTCTACATTTGTCCAAGTTAATTTAAACTGATAATGGAAATAGGTCAGCACTGAATCGAAGTGTGGAAATCAATTAGAGCAGCCTAATTAATGGGTGGCATTGGTGAAATTTTAGTGGTGAACACAATGCTGTTCACTTTCAGCGTCACTTTAAACTTACCGCACGATGCAATGCAAAAACACAATAAACGAAACGCATGACGATGACCACGAGCGGTGGAAGTTTATTAACCCTCATTGAAAAATTGCAACTATGGTTATACTTGCAATACATAGGTACCCGGAATTCCAACCTGGGTGCTCACGTTCCAAAGGTCAGAGTTTAGCTACTCGACGGTAGTGGCGCACCAGTAGAACAAGCATTTTTGGGAACCACGTGATTTTGTCGCTACAGGGCACAGAACGAGAAAGAGTTAGATCGAGCCATATGATTGCACAACTATTGGGGAGAGAAGGCGAAAATTGTAGAGAGAAAGAGAAAATATAGAAAGAAATGAGAAGACAAGAAACATAATAAGTGTGACAAAGGTTATAAGAAGCTGATTGTACTGCAAAAAAAGAGTCCTACGAGCACTTTAGGATTATCGTGGATCTTTACAGAATTTTACAACGCAGCCTGTTAATGCAACGTATTAAACAAAGCAGGACACATTATATCACGGATGCACCCAGCAACCCACGTTACAGCTTTCGGTAACGCCATTTAAAAACACCAAAAACTAAGAACGAATTCTGGGAAACAGTCACAAAGTTACCAAGCACCTTCACTACTCTATAGAATACACAATTTTCACGATGAGCTTATGAAACCGTCGAATGAATCATTCAAAAAATTACTCATTTCACATAATATTAAGTTTGTCTGACAAAGCTGCTGTGTGTATTTTGAATTTCCGTGTCCTAATTGCAATTTTTAGTTGTTGGCTGGGGCAAAATGACCTATCAGCGTAATATGTAACATTTGTTTTTGTTTTTTTTGCAGACATGACGTGTTTATGCTCGCTTTTCTACTTCATTGTACACATGTCTCTTATTTTCGTGACTATTCAGTTGGATATGTCCGTACAGTGCATTTTGTATTGACTTGTGCTACGTATGGCCTGCGTGCCGAACTGTCGTAGGAGCAGAAGCCTTTGTCAAGCCCCATGGCCTTTAGCCTCTACTTCCTTTCTGTTATGAACAGAAGAAATAAAGTCAATTCAATTCAATTCAACCAGGCAAAATTATGAAGGTTGGCAAAAAAGGAAGCCGAGAGACAGAGAAGGAAAACATGGTCTAGCTGTGTATGTATAGTGTAGTGTATGTATAGCTGTGTATGTATAGCGCAAGCGGCTATGACTGAGAATTGAGCGTGAAGAGGAAGAAGAGGGCTAAGCTTACGGTAGCGATGTGTAGTATTGTACAGCAAGGAACACTAAAAGATGTGAATGTAAGGGGACAAGAAAGAGGAAAAAACGCCACCAGCTTCTCTTTTTAAAATATAGATGGCGCGAACCCACGGCAAATTCACACACACAGGCACCAAACACGAAAGCACAAGAAAGGCAGCACGCGAAGTGTTAAAGGCGTTCTTCATAGCAAAGAATAAGCACCGATATGTAAGCGCACTTTCTTTATCTTTGTTTCCTGGTGAAATTAATTTTATTGACTCTAGGCTGTAAGTTAGAAATAAAAAGGCGAAACGAAAATGTACGTCTTGACAACATGTTCTGCTCACTTCTATGATATTTCTGCAAAGCATTCCTAGCATTCCTGCGATGAATAAACAGCTGAAAGTGAGCGCTGTTTATTTTTGGCGCCTGGATGTGTGCGTGTGTGAACGTGCCTGTGCTTGGGCTCTAAATACGTTTTTAAAAATGAGCGGCCAACTAGCCCAACAAGTCTATTGACGAGTTCCTTTATTTGTTTATTGTTCCCAGCCCTACTGTCCCATTTATTTTTTACTTTTCACTAGCCACGAAATAGTGATTAGAGCTCATGTTCAGCGTCCAATCAGCGCCGATTTTTTTGCTGCAACACTGTTTTATCTTATGATCCTGTCCCTATGCCAATGGAATGACCTGAGCAACGTCCTATTCTTGTATATAATCTTGTATGCCACGTTCAGACAAACACAGGTCACTGGTCAACAAAGAGTGGCAAATACTCACCTATGCTCGCTAGTGAGTAATGCTTTCTGAGGCTAAAGCTTTAGACGTTTCGTTAAATGCATACATATATAGCTGGCGTTCCACGAAGTCAGAGGCTGTCGTAGACAAAAATCACCGCGCGATGAAGTCGTACATTGACAATATTTTTCACATCCTCATGACGTAACTTGAATGCCATGCAATACACTGTAACATGATGACGTCATGTGATGTATTTGAAGCTTGGTCAAAGCAAGGTGTACTCAAGGTGGCCCGACCATGGAGGTATAGTGGAAAAACATGTAAGGGGCAAAAAGCTTTCGGGGGGCACCGGGCAGGATCAGCATTATGCACTACGAAGAATGAAAAGGTAAAACGTTTTTCGCGTTCCAGTCGTCTTAGTTGAATGCGTAGGGTAACCTAGGAGCTTTTATGGTAATGCTTATCGCTATTTTTTACATAGGCTACTTTTGGTTCCCTGGTGAATTTTTCGAACCCCACTGGTTTCAACAGCTCATGGGTGTCTCAAGCTATTTGCACAAAAATCTCTGTTTTGAGTTTTAGCACATGATTAGAAGTCCATTGCCTGCGTAGTTTTTGTTGTTGTTGTTTTCTTCGTGCATTTGTGTTTAAGCTTCTTCAATTCGATAGACGCTTTGTGATGTAACTGTAAAGATATGGCCTCCACATGTAACTGAAAAGATTATGTGTCTTTGAACAAGAGATGTCTTTAGATCAGCATTTGTACAGGAGCCTCAGCTGTTTTAGGCAATGACCACAATATATAGAGTATCGGCTACTATGAGTCCTACTATTATACTAATGAACCCAAGCAAGAACAGAATTATTGACACAAAGACAGTAACCTTGAAAATGAAAAAAAAAAAACTTCCAGAATAAAATGTAAGTGGTCCTGCGTCATTCTTGCTTTTTTGTTTTCAATTGGAAAATCGGAGAAGGGGATTAACGACATATATTTGAAAAGAGGGTAACTTGTATCAGTTCTATACCGCCCTCTTCGTTGACACCACTCATAATCAAATTTTGCTCTAAAAAGTTTTTGGGAGGTATTGAAGTGCATTTATTTCATCAGAGGTAGACCTACGTCGTCGAACCAGTGGCGTTGTCAGCAGTGAGAAATAAATAAGGGCTTGATGATTTGAATGGTTCTTCGTTGTCAGGTGAATGATCGAGATTTCTGAAAAGAAAACGTCAAAATAAATAAATATTATGTCGAAATTTTATTACAATGAAGACCTGATTTCAAAATCGCCAACATTCACTAAATGTGCGAAAAAAAACGTGAAAATAAATTATTACCAGGTAACGATTTCCTTCCAATGACTACAGTGGTTCTAAATACCACACAACACTCACCTGATATGTATAAATCTCTTAATCTTTTAACCAAACCCATAGCGGTCAGAGAAATAGAATGATTTGCCATCATGTGACCACTAAGCCCCACAAATATCTTGTTCATGGTAAACGACGATAAAAACTAAACTCGAAAAACTCTAATATCTTGCCTTCAGCGTAGTGTAAGTATGCTCCACAATTCAGCACGCGTTGACTATGTTTACTAGTGATTCCTCAACATCAGTTTTAAATAGGTTGATTGTTTTGTTGTGATAAAAAATTGTACGTACACTTCTTCTTGCGCACCAGAGCGTTGTATTCGAGTGGAGTGCCCAGACCGTAGCCGTAGTTGAGTCCGTAGCCGATTAGACCACGGCCATACTCGTAGCTACCAACACCATAACCAAGATCGGGAATGCCGTAGCCGTAGTAGGCGGGGGCAAAGACTGGAGGGCCTTGAGACAAGCCAGGATAAATTAAAACTGGGACAGGTTGCCCATTGGAGACACCTGGAGCAGCAAAGGGGGAAGCATAGACTGGCTCAACCAAAGGTTTCCCATGTGGGCCAGTACCGGCAAGCCGAGCGCCGATAACGTTGCTAGGAGCTTCAGTAGAGGTGGGTGGAGTATGCGAAGCACTTGCAAGTCCAAGAGCAGTGGTGGGGCTTGGAGTAAACTTGCTCACTGGTGAGGATCCCGTGAGACCAGAAGTATGGGTGCGGGCTGCCGCCGCAGCAGCCGCAGCCGCCGCAGCCGCTGGAGAAGTGGCGTAGCTGGTACGCGTGTCAAATTGCGCTACAGCTGGGGAATGGGCGTAGCTGGTATCAAAGTTCACCCCAGCTGGTGTGTTGGCATGGCTGGTGTCATACCTTGGTACAGACGCACCGTTGTCGTAGCTCGCTACGGCTGGGGCACCGGCGTAGCCACCATCAAACCTCGTCCCAGCCGGGGTAGCGGCATAGCCTGGAAAAGGCGCTGGAGGGACTACACCATAAGGTGAGGCAGGGTAGCCCCCAAAGAAGTCTGGCAAGCCTTGATCAGGGGCGTAGCCATTAACTGGCGTAGCGAATGTGCCGATAATTGGATGCCCGCCGTGGGCGCTTGCAGCCCTGGGGCCAGCTGAAGCACTGTTGTATGTTGAGGTGCCATTTTCGGCAGCTTGGGATGAACCATAGAGAGCTGTGACTTTTGCGGCAGCTGAAGAAGCAGGCCCACTAGGTGCAGTGGCGTAATTGGCTGAATACTTGCCGGTTCCAAGACGACCGGAGCTGTATGCGGGAGCTGAAGAAGCACGCGAAACACCAGAACTTGATTCGTAGTCTACACTGCCGATTGGGCCAGCGAGAGCTGACTTCACAAGGAGCAAAACAGTGAAAAGGCGGATCTGTAAAAGACAAGAAATTGATATGTTTATGTGCATTCAAACTCAGTGATTTTACAACTCTGTGGTTGTATATTAAAATCGAGAACTGGTGAGTTTCCCTCGTGATTAGACAAGCTGCAGCTATATCCCCACGTAACACTTGGGAAAAGGTAAAGAACAATCACAGTAGCCAAAAAGATAGCGAGTTTTCAGCCTGCTTCTGTGGCGGCATTGTATACGCAACAATGCCATGTTCTAAGTCATTAGCTTACGCAAGATTTCTGCGCATGGGCATTATGAGAAACTTAGTGCCATTGCGCGTGCAACGCAATTACAAACTAAATTCATGCAGTCGTAAAGCCGGCTGTTTGTGTGACCAACAGCTCCTCTAATGGTGAGAAAAATCGCGTTCGTTTTCGGTTCACGTTTTTCAGCAAGCCCAATAAAGAGAAACACAGGGATGCAAATGAAGATTAGTTTTACTTGTTAAACGCTACGTAATGGCGTAGAGAGAAATACAGAGAAAATATTTGTAGTATTTAGCGCAGGAAACTATACATAAGCAGAGAGAAATTAAAAAGGTTCAAAAACAGTTTGAGTATTGGTGAGCACTGAATATTTAAATAAAAGGTTTGATGCCTTACCATTTGAGGTAAGACAATGCTAATTCTCTCGGCCACGTCAGACACCAGGTTTATACGCACATTCAGTGCGTGTAAATCTGTACGCACGTTCTATGCATCTAAACCTGGTTGCCTTGGCAAGCACCACTCGTTGCCTAGGCTGCTAGTTAGTAACATTGCCAGCATTCATCTAGTTGTGCGCGAACTGCTCTAGAGCTGGCATCTGACCAATAAACCCTTGCAAGTTATTCCCAGGCGTGCCTGGACAAGACCTTTGCAATAAAATAAAAATCCAGGAGAAAAAAAAAGGCCAAAAGCTCGTTTTTCTTGGTGGACACCGCCTCTTGAAGCTAACAGAAAACGAAGCTAAAGAAGGGATAGGAGAAAAGTTGATTGATATGTGGGGTTTAACGTCCCAAAAACACTATATGATTATGAGAGACGCCGTAGTGGAGGGCTCCAGAAATTTAGACCACCTGGGGTTCTTTAACGTGCACCCAAATCTGAGCACACGGGCCTACAACATTTCCGCCTCCATCGGAAATGCAGCCGCCGCAGCCGGGATCCGAACACGCGCAGGAGAAAAGTTCGTACTGTTAACATTATTGTAGTAGGCATGACATATATAGAAATAAATTTATGCGGACACAAAAGCAAGACTGGTATATAATGTTTCGTGGAGACATTAGGCAAAATCTACTAATACCCTGATTACAAGCCTTAACAGAACAACGATCGTAAGTAGTAGGTAATCGAAGCCAAAACCGAGGAACTGTGTCTGCATGGTTTACGCCTGGTGTGACAGTAAAAAAAAAAATACGACTTAAAAGGCAGCAGCTGGTCGTCGAGCTGGGAGTGACCTAGATCTCCTAGCAAAGTGTGCAGGATACTTCCTGAAATGCTTGTAAATATCTACATTTCAGTTTTCGCACACGCAAGGTTGGAAATACGTTATTTACTGAACACTGAAGGAAACGTTACCATCCGATTGAGAATAAACGCATGGCCATATGGTATCAGTATGGTTGCTTGGGGACAAGTATAATTGAAATGGAAGGACCTGGTAAGATGTTTATAAAAACTGTGTGATTACGAGCTGCACAAAAAAGTATCTCATAAATAGAGTAATCACCACATTTGACTGGACCGGAAATACTTAGGACCACGGTTTCCTTGTTCTCAGAGACCATGTCGCATGCTCGACTATCACACTATTGCTGAGACAAGTACTTAAGGCAGCTCGAAGCAGCCACTGCTGTTACAGCAGTGACTATTTGAGTGATACACTAAAAAAAGCTTTAAAGGCATGGTATACATGAAAAACAATCAGTCAATACTCTGTTGAGTGAACGTAAACAACCGTTCACAAACGAAACAGCAGAGGCCACCTTGTTGAAAAGATGATGATAAATACGCGTCACCTACATCAAAAAGGTCTTTCTGCCGCGAAACTCTCGCCTTGAAAATACGCCTGTTTTAAGAGACAACAAAACAGTGCACCCATATGCTATATGAAAGATTACAACTAAATGTTTGTGGCGTCTCGCAAACCATTCAAAAGAGCATGTGTAGACAACATGAACATGGCGTGTTCATAATGCAGTCAATTCTGAAGCAGCCACCATCTTCGGTGCTTTGTATTCAAAGACTTCCTAAAAGGGCAACTTCAATTCGGAATTTATATTACCGTGTATTTGTATAGCTACGAAACAGTTGTGAGTGTTCTGCCGAAGAAGAAAGAAAGAAAAGAAACGGCTATCTGCAACACCTTCTCTTTCCACCGTACAAGCCTTGGTTTTTCTCTCATTAGCGCATGCAATTAGAAATATCTACAAATCAGATAACTAGAGACCAAGACCTCATTAAAGTAAACGCACATATATCATCATTGAGCATTGACATTCAACACACACACACACAAGCACACACACACAAACACACACACACACGCACGCACACAAACACACGCACGCACACGCACACACACACACGCACACACGCACACACACACACTCACACACACACACACACACACGCCCAAACGTGCGAGCGCTCTGTGAGCGTGAACCCTCAAAACAATCATACACATATACGCTCGCAAGAAAGTACCAAGCACTCATGCATGCAAGAAAATGAACACCCAAAATGAAAACCGACACCCTTCACGCATGAGCACACATACACACACATGAAATTGCATGCACATTGACGAAAGAGTCTTTTTCCAGTTCGTCGGATGATGATTTTGCAAGAAATAATTGCCTAAACAGAACTGTTAAATTGTATATAGAAGTTTTTAGGATAATGAGGAGTGGGCTTCGGCAGCCTACTGTTTTCTTACTACACAGACTTTCGAGGCCCGCTGATGCCAGAATCAATCGTGCCTTCATAACAGTTTTTGTCCCTTTGTGGACAGTGCATTCACCGCTCACACGCGTGGGTCGACGAGCCTTCATGCATTTGGCTGCAGAAACGACGGACCGAAGAGAGCTTATCGTGAGAGCTTGATTTAAATAGTCAATTTGCAGAGCAAAGAAAAGTTATACCTTACGTTGATAGTGATAATGTGTGATCGCATGAGTCATGCGGGCAGGCGTATTACAACCACAATAAAGTACCAGCTGATTCACCTAGTCTATACAATAGTCTGAATTATGCGTCAATTAAAAGTCCAACTAATTATATATCTACATTGTTTGCAGGCTCGCAAACGCGGTCATGGTTGATTTCTGGTTTTATCATGCGCATCGTCAACTTCTTTCACCTTCATCGCAACTGATGGGATTGTCTCTTCGCGCCAGCTTTGAAACACACATGCATTACATCACTGCATCACAATGCTTCTGAAAAGTATGGAATAGTCACATGTACTTCAACGTAAATCCTCTCAGACTTTTCTTCGTGTGAGGCTGCCCACTTGCTGGAGTAGCGTGCCAATAATGGAAGCCCCTACTTGACAGATGACGCTGTGCCCCGAACTCTCTCAACAACGCTTGCATGTTAGCACTGCATGGTGCCACGCCAAGCTTGCTTGGTTGCGCTCCGGTTTGGTGAAGCCTCACCTCGACAAGTGGCCCGTCACCAACAGAAGGAGAAACGTCTAACAAGTTTAAACGCAACTTAATCGCTGCACCACCAGCGAAACTGGTATAGTTTATTGGCGGCTGTGCCATGCCATCTTACGCTCTGCTGAAGCGGAGCAGCTACAAGTGGAAATTCATTAGTATCGTTCTTGTGCTTCCGCTGTGTTATTTCTAAATTTAGCAGTGGTATATATATATATATTGAATTCAGTTTCATCCATGATTCTAGCAGGCACCCTCCCTTACTTAGTCATCCGTATCAGTACTTACCATTTTGAATTTCGAGCACTTGATCGTTGGTTCAGTTGCACACGCGTTAGAGGCAGACCGCCCTTTATATACAGGGCATAGACTGCGCCAGAATAAACGCGCCTCGTGGTTTGAGATCACGACGACCCGATAGTATATATAAGACTTTACATAAATGAAAGAGAGAAAGGAACTGGTAGGACAAGTGGTATCACGTAACGTTACGGGATGTGAACGCTAATGAGAGTACTCCTGCTGCCAACGGGGAGGGAGATGGGCTTTCCTCTTCCGCCCCGAATCAAGCAGACATTCTTGAGACCCCTTATAACAAAGAAGTGTACTTTCCTCCTTCGAGGGTGGAGCTGCAGAATTAGAATGCAATGGTGCGACATCTGGTTTTTTCTGCTCCTACGACTGCTGAGATTTCCTTAGAAATGGAAGTGGTACTTCGATAACAAAAATGCGACCTGAATTTCAATATCAGGGGCGTAATTCAGCAGGGGAGAACGCTTCAGAGAATATGCACCACTTGGTAATAAGCAAGGAATCGAGAAACCGTAGCATTCTCTGAGCCGTTGCGGCATACATTTCATAAAACTGCTTTGTGCGAGAACAAGTCAAAAAGAATATAAATAGCAGAACGTAGCGTGATACATTATCTTCTCATTGTTATTTATGTCGTCAGAAGTCGAAGATACCTTGCTTGTTTTACAGCAACAAGTTGCCGCCCTTGGAGTTTTAACCAAGGACTGATGTATTGGAGAGACATGGCCCACCTTAATTTGAAAAGAAATGCCGTATCACCCATTTTGTTCTCAAAGACAGTTTCTAAGTTGGATACATAGCATATTCAAAGAAATGTCGAAATAACGACGTATACTGTACCGCATAAAGTGGAGCTCTTATTAGTGTCTTCATAGAAGCACAGGAAATCTAATGACATCCGCGTGAGACCAAATCCCATGGCTGAACGCTAGACCCAAACGAGTGGAAGCTTGTGAATTCCACAATCAGTTTCACTGGGAGCATAAATGCTAAATGTGTGGTGTTTTAAATGTCAGAGTACCAATACGAGTAAAGACCACGCCATAGTAGGGGTTCGAGATTCACCTTGCTTGAAGATTTCTTATTAGGCACCTAAGTATGACTATGTGGCCATTGCTACATTCTAAATACTACTGCTGTGGCCGCAAACCAAGTCAGTGTCATGAAGCTCACCAGCGTAAAGGCTTACCTCGCTCATGACCACTTACCTCGCTGGATGACCTGTGAGGCTGCAATGGAGATTCAGTTGCGCTTCTACGCCATTAACCACAGAGCTCTAATAATGCCGTATTTAATTAGCCCATTGCCATAAATTATATAGTGTTATCTATAAACGAAAGTCGAAATCATTGTAACTGAACAATGTATACAAAACGCGTCAATGAAGCGCGTCTTCATGGAACTGAAAGCCTGCTTCCAGTCTTCCTTGTCATACTGCTATTTTCGCCAAACACAGAGAATGACACAATGAGGACTGAGCTTAAACTGTTGCATGGGTACACCCCACTCTTTCCACAACAGACAGCGTCCGTGACCTTCCTCCTTTAAACCCGGCCTGCTTATCAGAGTCGGCATCGAAAGTAGCGTCTGCGGCACTTAAAGCTGCTTAGGGATTCTGAGCAGCAACATCTTGCCGTTCACTTTCAGCTCCGATAACATACAAAGCATAATGTTGCGATAGCCACTTCCTGATTTAGACCTTCAATCTTTTGAGGTCGACTGCCACTGGCGAAACTTTATAATCACTAAACATACACCCAGACTTTTCAATGTAATTATACCATGAGCGTTCTAAGAAGTTAACCAGAGCCGGTGCGCTATGGTGGATATACCGAGCTTGGCAAAAACTCGGAATCTTTCCGAGCTTTGGCGTCACCTCCATTTGCACGAGCCAACAGTGCGAAAAAAAAAATCAAATCCGCCATTAAACACGCTGCGTTTCATTGGTTATGATAGAACCCAGCATCGTGTCAAGGATGGCCGAGAAAGTTAGGTGGTGTTTCCGAACCAGAGGCATCTTCTTCGATTTATTTGTCGTTCCAATGAGTGCAAAAGGGCAGTCATGCGATAAAAGTGTCAGAAGCTTTTCCTGGCGGTATTTTTTTTAAGGCAGGAGCTCTTTAAGCTTTTTCTGGAGCTTTTAATGACTGCACTAAGTCTGCTTTAGAATAATAAGCACGGTAGCCCCTTAGATTCGTTCTAGCTGACTGTTTCACAGCATCGCGACCACAGCTAAAGCTGAGGCGACGCGTTAATTATCATGATTACCCTGCACATTGTCGCACGCTGTTCGGCTGGTGCGCTTTTCTTGTCGCCTTCATCGTCCGCTAGCCCCTGAACCCATGCAGCCGGCTAATTAGCTATATGGCTGGGAGGTATGCTTGGCTAGTGAGGCCAGAACATGCTATGCCCAAAGTAGTTAGGCGAAGCCAGGATAAGGATGAGGTAATTGTGCCATATCTTAGCTAGAGTATGGTAATGAAGTCATGTGAATCTACAACAATTCTATCTGAAGCATGCAAGTTCACGCACTAGTGAATTCATGCTAATTACTGGGGTGTTAATAAGGAGCCCCAAGTAAAACCTTGCTAAGTTCAGCTTACTAACGTGATTACCATTTGGATGATGCTAAAACAATTACGTTGATTAGTTTTAGACTAATGATGGCTTTGCTAACTAAACCTGATTTAATTATTGTGATTTTAGTGGCAACCTCATCAATTAGGACAACACTGTTTAGTGTTATGCTCATGAAGCGTTAGATAGTTATAATAATCATAATTAAAACACAGCTGATGCTTCCTTCACTACGAAGTGGACCAAGCAGATGAGTAGACAACCGAGAGAAATATGGAAGAAGCTAGGTTATCACAAGCTCGTTTATGTATCCAGCCTTGCATATTACTGCGATATGACCCGGTTATTTCATATGCAAAGGAGTTGCTAATTAGCGTCCACCGCACCAAACGCTTGGTAGTGCCGCAGTCACCATGGCAGTCACAACTTGAATTAGGCTCTTCACAGAATGAACAACTTTGTGTCCTAGTTCACGCGCCAATCAATCCGATTGAGAGACACTCGCGGCGAAGATTGGGTACGCCCACCACTTTCGCTCTTGTCGACGAGCAGTGCCCATGCCCCAAGGCCAGGGAGTGGCACGATTTATCTATCAGCTTTATATCCCGCAAAGTATGCACACACTCACGCCGAAGTAAAAGTTATATCACGACGTGGCTGCTACGTATCGCATTCAATATCCCCGCAATCACGACAGATCCACTCACAGCCACGTTGCCGCCATTATGCGAGCGCCTCTGGTAAGAACCTGTCCTTACACTTATGTTCAATATTTAATAAAAACGAAACGACCAGCAGAAAAGTGCTATGTATGCACCCTTGCTGCCTTTGGGAGTTTATATGTTTATGCTGCAGGTGGAACGAAAGAACTTGGCCGAAAGAGAACAAACGCCCACGAGCATGACCATGGATGCCACCTAATGAGCTGGCGAAGAGATAGAGCGACAATAGAGCTGAAGGTCCTGCACTGTTGAAATGTTGACTGAGTGGCGGTGCTGACGTGTGCGCGCGCGGGGTTTCTTTGATAACCAGCACAAATGCCTAACACCGTTTCTGACTTGACGCACGTTCTTGTAGTCACTCAGCGCTGCGATCACGTGCTCCGCACTGTGTTCGTGCCATGGACACCGCAGATTGAGCTCGAAGCATCTCGTGTTGCCGAGAAGCTCGGACTAGCCTGCATAACACCGAAAATTACAATTACAGATGTTGAAAATTACACTTATATAATTCTGAATAAACCAATATAAGCAGATCAAAACCACTAAAAAGTACTGCAAAAAATGGCTTGTTTCGTGTGGTGAACTTAAGTTTATTTTTGCAATGTACTTTTATTGTTTAGGGCTGGAACGGCAAATAGAGATGTTTCAAATGTCTATACTCGGGGATGCTCTATCTTACACCGCAAAGCTTTGGTAAGTGAAGCAGTGCATCGCGATACATTTCATTTCCTAATTTCTTTATAAATCACCGGAGGGATCGCACGCTTCAAAGCAGTCGGCGAATTTCTTCGCGAAACAAAGCATTTCAGTTTTGGAGACGTGCACGACGTGGAAAGAAAGAAACAAATGCATTGAGAGCACCTCACCTACAAACATGAACCGTAATGGACTTGTTAACCATTATTGCAGTACGTCTAAAAGAACATGCATGATTAAAAGACAACAGTGAAGAAGCAACATACCCTATATATCATATATTTTATTAACGAAGACGTAACGTTCCAAAATGGGGCGGCAGCGAATCGATAGACCTAAAACATTTTCCATAAATTAGTATTATGACTTTGTTGTCACGACCAAGGTTTCTGAAAGAGAAAGAACGAAGTGGTAAAATTAGGTTTTGAGTTAGTAGCCGCACTTTGGTTCATTTGCATTGAAAAATCTTTCCTCTTGGTGACAAGCGTTCGGGGAAATTTTCGGTAAGGTGCTGTTTAACGATCGCATGACGTCTCTGTTTACTGAAATCGCGTTGTATGAAAATTAAATGTCTCTGTCTTAGCATTAAGAAAAATTCACTAGCTTTCATTTGGTGTCGCCTTCTGGTGGATACAGCGATAACCACTTTGGAGAATGGTGCAATTAGTAGTTCTAAACATTTTTTGACCTTGCATTAACATGGAAATTCGAGTCGTATACATCAGTCAACAAGATTGCAGGACATCCTTACGCAGTGAAAATTATTCGTTTCTTCCATGGGAGGAAAGCTGCTAGTGTGTTACTCAGCTGCAATTTGGGAGAAAGGTGACCGAAGAACTTCAGTTTCTAAAACAGTTAGTGCTATCACCAGCTGACTTCTGGTTAAGCCACGCGTTACGGTTAACTTCTGGTTAAGCCACGCGTTACAATTATATTGGCCTCAACATTTTGGTGTATTTGGCACTTAGTATCTCCAGCATTTGCATATTTTCTAGGTATCGGCCTATTTTTAACATTAACCGAATACCTCGTATAGTGAATTCATTACCTCAGGCTGAATGAATTATCATGAAAGCTTGCGATAAGCAACCTAATCAAGTGAGGTTGGTCTTGCCACACGTGCTGATGAAATAATAATTGGGCTCGTGACGGAGCCCGCGGGAAACCAAAAGACGTCGCTGAGAACAGTTATTAGGTGGTTCTAGAAAAATTACAAAGTGCGATATTCGTGTCATTTGGTGGTCCTTACTTGAGCTTATAATGCAGGTGCCCTATTATTCGGAGAGACATGCTGACTGCTTCAATATCCATACATAATACTCAGTGCTTTGTTTATGATCAGAATCAACCCTAGTTCATCGTCATCGTCACGTACATCCCAGACTTGAAATCAATACCACACACCACCCTGTCGTTTTCAAATATACATACAATGTATGAAGTATTTTGCCACTATCGGCAAACACTATAGCAATAACGTGCCACATGTCTCAATTGTTTACTTGGTTTCCAAGTTTCTATTTGTTCGCCTTTCAATATATGTTACCACCGCTTCACACTTTGTAGGATCATACACAACATCAGGAACGTTCTGAAAGAATCATTCGGGTTTTAAATGCTCTACGCAATCAGGACAATATTGTCACGAATGACTGGGCTAGTTAGTATTGGTTAATCGTTTAGCTGAATATTGAGCGCTTATGTTATGGGAATCTTATTGTCTCTGTGCGCGCCCTTATTCTGTTAAAAGATGAATCAATATTGTCATTTTTACAAAAGCATGCCACTTATTACCACATAATAAAAATAATTGAAGCGTAAGCCAAGTATAGAATAAAATATAGCAATATGAAAAATGAAGGTATGTGACTGAAATCATAAATTAGAAATGGTTTTATTTTCCAATCAATCTGGTGGGGGTGCTTCAGGGGAAAAGCTGTACTTACAATCTTATTGTGCCTTAAGGCCCCCACAAGGCGTCAGTAACGCTAAACAGCAGCATTCATACACAGCCTCAGTATATATCCAAAGTCACATCCTACACAATGTATTACCTGACTCCAACGCATATCTGAATGACTACACTCATATATGCATGAATACAGCAACAATTACGCAGAGTGGTTGGCTGTCCAATGTAAGTTAGTGTGAAATGAAATAACTTACGAGGGAGACTGAAGAGCTGCTTTTTTGTAGACTAATG